ATACAAAAGCAATTAGAGCTGAAAGAAGAAAAGACTCCTGTTTGCTACATCTCATATTAACTAGAATGTGCAGAAATGGCGAACTGTCCTGTTCAGTGATGAATTGAAGTTCAACATCATTGGGAGCAATGGCATTTGCCGTGTACGTCGACCGGCCGGAAAACGTCTCGATTTACATCACTGCCATAAGATCGTGAGGCATGGTGAGGCAATTTAACAGTCTGGGGGTGTTTTACTGCTAACGGTCTAGGTCCAATACATCAAATCGATTGAATAATGGACCGTTTCATGTATAAAAATATCCTGAAAGATGTTATGTTACCTCACGCTGAATGGAATATGCCAATAAAATGGGTTTTTCAGCAAGACAACGATTCGAAACACACTGCAAAAGTAGTCAAGCAGTGGTTTCAAGACAACCACCAACCGGTGATTGATTGGCCGCTTCAATCTCCGGATCGTAACCTTATCGAGAACCTGTGAGAGATCGTCAACCGCAGAATTAATTGTGAAGGTGTTCGTTATAAGGATCAACTGTTTGAACAAATCCAAAAGGCCTGGGCAACGATTCCACAAAGTTTCATTGATCACCTGATCGAATCTATGCCTCGAAGATGCAAGGCATTGATCGACAACAAAGGATTCGCCACAAAATATTGATAGCAAAATACAGCTTGGTCAACATTTTGTGGAGTTGCACTTGTTTTGTCCAGAAGAACACCAACTTTTTTTAATACTTTTGATTAGTTTGTTAATTTTCGTGTATAAATAATAAACTTTGTGATGAATAAAACTTGAAGAACGTTGTCTCTAAACAGTTATATAGTTATTTCTCTAAATTGAAAAAATGCTTCACTTTTGTATATAAAGAGACTAAATTAGCATTATTTGGTTGCACTTGTTATGTCCGATACTGTATATACATACATACATACATACATACATACATACATACATACATACATACATACATACATACATACATACATACATACATACATACATACATACATAAATATATATATATATATATATATATATATATATATATATATATATATATATATATATATATATATATATATATATATATATATATATATATATATATATATATATATATAGTATATATATATATATATATATATATATATATATATATATATATATATATATATATATATATATATATATATATATATATATATATATATATATATATATATAAATTATTGAAGAATCATTTAACAACATCATTTTATTTAAATATTAAATAGCAACATTTTTTTTTTAATTACAGTTAAATGAATGTTTTCGAGTCTATTCCGTAAGCCCACATTCCGAAACGCTCATTCCATAAGGAACTCTTTCGCAAGTATTATTACGAAATGATTTATTTCGCAAGTTTTTTTTCGTAAAGGGTTATTTCGGAATTATTATTATTATATATTTTTTCGTACAATGCGTTACGGAAGGTGAATTTGCGCATGTGCAACTTCCGCAATAGCAACTTGAAATACGGAAGATAAAAATGCGAAATTTTTGTAAGTTTTTGTTTACGGCGAATAACCCTAGACAATATTTTGAAAGAGGCAATAAAACCTTAATTAAATGGATCCTCTTACCGAAATAAACAATTACCGATTTGACAGTTTTTATCTACCGGTCCTCTTACCGAAATAAAAAAATACCGGTAAAACAATTTTTATTTACCGATAAGACAATTTAAGCAACTAAACATTTTATAAATGCAGATAATTTCATAGGTGGTAAACATTTTATAAATGTTACAAATTTTAGAGATCAAAAGAATTAATAATCATCACAAACAAGTTATAAAGATAAAAATGTAAACTGTATTATTGAAATATATTAAATAAAAACTAAAAAAAAAAAAAGTTTTCGTAATTTTTGACTGAATATATTTTATTTGGGGAAGCCAGGATAAATTCTCATCAATAAGAATTCCTTAGAATAAGTGATTCCATACTATTTCTGTTTTTTAATTTATCTATTATTAACTAGTTTTTGAATTTGGTGATTTATAGTAACAGTAGCTTTTTATAGTAGCAGTTGCTTTTGACAAGTTAATGAAGATGCCTAAAGTATATTCGAATTTTTCAAACAACTTTGAGTTTGTACATGTAGTCGTTTGAAAACGATTTAATATAATATAATAATATTCATAATAAATTTTGTGAGTTAGGGTAGATTAGGGTAATATGAGCATACTTAAAGATTTCTTATATGTAAGCAGTGATGTTAATGTTGCTTTGTATTCTTCGAATCGACTATTTGTGATGATAACAGGAATCGGTACAATGAGCGTAAATTTATACGCAGTAATTAGCGGCTATCATCTAATTAAAACGTTGTCAAATTTTTTGCGTTGCTAAAATAATATCATCACGCATAAATAAATCTGTGGTGCGAAATTTTGGTGCTAAAATAATGAAATTAGTTTTTTCATAAGGAAAATTATGTTAGCTAAAAATCCAATAGATTTTTGTTTGAAAAACAATACATAATTACATTTAGTTATGACTTTATGTAAAGATGCTGTTTTTGTGTAGTATGACCAAATTACCCAGTTTTTTCATTGAAATTACATAGTTTAAAGTCCTAAAAAAGTAGTGGTTTTAATTGCTTTTTAAATAAAAACAATTAATAAAATTGAAAAAATAAAGAACGAAGAAAAAATAAGGTAGAAAAAATAACCAACTAATTTTTTTCTGTGGAAAACATAGCAGTATTGTTTCAACAAAAAGTGGCTTAAAATTTTGTCTTTTAATGATAAGTTTTCTTAGTAACAAATCAATATATTCCAAAAATTAGTTCTAATTGTCAGGTTGGTATTTTTTTTACCAAATTAATGTTATTTTTTTAAGCTAATTTAAACTGCTAATATTATCAAGTGATCTGGGTATTATGAGCAATTTTTGGTACTTTTTTAAAACCTCTGTGTTTTTATAAAAAAAATTCATAATGTAGTATGACCAAATTACCCAGTTTTTTCATTGAAATTACATAGTTTAAAGTCTTAAAATAGTAGTGGTTTTAATTGCTTTTTAAATAAAAACAATTAATAAAATTGAAAAAATAAAGAACGAAGAAAAAATAAGGTAGAAAAAATAACCAACTAATTTTTTTCTGTGGAAAACATAGCAGTATTGTTTCAACAAAAAGTGGCTTAAAATTTTATCTTTTAATGATAAGTTTTCTTAGTAACAAATCAATATATTCCAAAAATTAGTTCTAATTGTCAGGTTGGTATTTTTTTTACCTAATTAATGTTATTTTTTTAAGCTAATTTAAACTGCTAATATTACCAAGTGATCTGGGTATTATGAGCAATTTTTGGTACTTTTTTAAAACCTCTGTGTTTTTATAAAAAAAATTCATAATGTAGTATGACCAAATTACCCAGTTTTTTCATTGAAATTACATAGTTTAAAGTCTTAAAATAGTAGTGGTTTTAATTGCTTTTTAAATAAAAACAATTAATAAAATTGAAAAAATAAAGAACGAAGAAAAAATAAGGTAGAAAAAATAACCAACTAATTTTTTTCTGTGGAAAACATAGCAGTATTGTTTCAACAAAAAGTGGCTTAAAATTTCATCTTTTAATGATAAGTTTTCTTAGTAACAAATCAATATATTCCAAAAATTAGTTCTAATTGTCAGGTTGGTATTTTTTTTACCTAATTAATGTTATTTTTTTAAGCTAATTTAAACTGCTAATATTACCAAGTGATCTGGGTATTATGAGCAATTTTTGGTACTTTTTTAAAACCTCTGTGTTTTTATAAAAAAAATTCGGGTGCCCAAATATTTAAGTGGATCACGAATAGGGATCCCCAAAAATTATTTATTCGCAAAAATTTTGGATTCAGTCCAATTATTTTTGAAAATAATCCAATTTTCGCTCAAGGTGCTCATAATAACTTAATCTACCCTATGTAACTTTAGTGTTGTTATTAAAAACAATGTTTTTTAAAATAAGCAGATAGCATAAATACTACAAACGATATCAATTATCCCAACTGTATTTTTACATTCAAAAATTGTCAAGGACCTTCAAAAAATAAAAATTCTTTTCCTAATTTATTCAGTTTAATTTTAATCTAATCTCAAGTATTTTTGCAATGTATATTAACAAAACTATTCACAACTTTTAAACACTTTAATTTAAATATTTTGAATTTAAAATATTTTAATTAAATCAGAATAATAATGAGATTGAAGTGTATATAACTAAATTAATAGTTTAAATAACAGGAACAGGTAAGAAATTAATTTTAATTTCTTATTGCTTGATTTGACTTGAGTAAAAAAGTTGATTTTAAAAGTATTTCTGTTTATAAACAGTTATTAACATAAACGGCAAGATTTTCTCGTGAAGGATACAGATAGTTTAAATAATTAGGGCCCGGAAAAAACAGATAATTCAAAAATATGACCGGCAGAAAACGCTGATAAACCAATTCGTTTATTCACGGATATAACAGCTAATGGTTTTAGGCAGAATTGATACGTAGAACTTATTAGTAACAATAACTTGTTGTTGTTGTTGTTGTTGTTGTTTTTGTTGTTGTTGTTGTTGTTGTTGTTGTTTTGTTTACATTTGTCGTAAAATACATGTTACATTTTCCAAAAACAAATAAATAAGGCTTCTGAAAGAGTGATAATCATATTGTCAGAACATTTTACAATTTTAAAAATAAACGAGAGTTAAAAAACAAAAAAGTGAAAATAAAATCAATATGCACTGTAACACCTTGGCAAGTACTCGATTAATTTTCAATAATCAAATTATCATTACTGTAAGCAGAGAAAAAAAACATAAAATTTCGCAGACACACGATACTTATAATCTTGATACTTATAACCTTTTTAATTAGTGGTTCTGACGCTTTCAAAATTTACAGTGCTCAGGCCTCTTCAAAAATTACAGTGCTCAGGACAAAGCAGTGTTCCGGATTATATAAAACCCGTTTAAA